CCCCGGCGAGCGCCACCAGCGCCGCGCCCGCCCGCGCCTCCTCACCCCACCCCTCAGGGCCAGGAGGCTCCTCCGCCCAGGCCCCGGGCCGCCCCAGGCCGGGGGGCAGGTGGGGAAGGCGCGGCCCCTCAGCCCAAGGGTAGGACGCGGCCCCCCCACCGCTGTCCCACGGCTGGCGCCCATTGCGGCGCCACGGAGATGAGCCACTGCCCGGGGCGGGAAGCTGGTGCGGGGCTGGCCCCTCTCCCTGGTCCTGAGCCGCAGGAGGGGAAACGCAAGCACGCGCGGCGTCTGTACGGTACCTGTGGCCCCGCGCAGCCAAAGGGCGGCCGCTGCGGCCGAGAGCAGAGCACAGGCGCCCCAAGTGCCCCGGCCCCACATGGCCCGGCCCGGCCCGGCCTTACCTCGCCGCCAAGCGGGGCTGGCCCAGCGCCTGGCTCCGCTCATCCGCGCGGCTTCCGGCTCCGCAGCGCCGGGAGGGGAGGGGAGGAGAAGCAAAGGGAAGGGAAGCCGCGGGCTCCCGGCTGGCGGAGCCCGGGGAGGCGCTGCGGGGTCAGGGGGCAGGCAGCCAGCCGCGCGGGGGCAAGCTTCCCTCCCTGGCCTGAGGAAGACGTGGGCCTCTTTTCCCGTCCTCTAGAGCGCTGCCTCCATCTCAGCCTGTTTCCTACCAGGACCCATGGCCTGTCCCGACCCACACCCCACCCCCATGCTGATGCCCCCCCCCATGCTGGTGAGCCCCGGGCACAAGCAGGGCTGCCCACCAGTTGCAAGCTAACGCACAAGCACCTTCCCCACAGGGCTGCCCCCTGACCTGGGGCAGCCTGAGTCAATGTGGATCTGGCTCATGGGGTAGGGGACCCCAACTGTTCAGCTCCTATCCAGCGGTGGCTCCAGCTTATGCAGGTGGTAGCAGAGCAAGTCCAGTCTGCCGACCCCCTGGGTTGGGGCTGCCCTGCCAAGCAGCCTGGTCATGACCCCGCTCAGCAACTCTGCCAGCTGCCAGGATTCAAATTACAAGGGGGCTGAGCCCCTCCCCCCATAAAAGATGAGAGCCCCCCCTGTAATACTTGAAAATCATAACCAGGGAGGGGGCTTCAACTTCATTACGGCACTAGCCAATTGCCCATCAAGAATGTCGGGGGGGAGAGGGGCTTTTAGAATATTAGAATTGTGATGGTCAGTCCCATTTTTTTGCAGCCACTCCCAAAAGTGTAAGTGTAATTCGAGTCCTGCCAGCTGCCCCACTCCCACAAACATGGGCACCAGCCCCAGACGAGCTACACAGCTCTCCCCGGCCTCCTTGCCCCACTGGAAGGGACAGACACTTTCCCATGATCCCTGCGCCCTGTCACTGCTTATGACCCTTTGGAATATTCTTGTGACCCACAGGTTGAGAAACGCTGCTTTAGAGCAGTGGTTCTCAAACTTTTTTGTATCAAGACCCATTTGTAAATATTGATGTCCAGTCTCAACTCAGTGCCCATCACTTCCAACCCACTCTCCCCAGGCTCCAGCCCCCCAGTGTGTAGGCAGGGGGTAGGTGTGCAGAGCAGGGGGGTGTGTGAGGCCTATGCTGGGGCCCAAGCAACCCCTTGCAGGCTGGAACTCAGCCTGCAAGGGAAAAGCTGTGGTTTCCCACTTCTTTCTTCTTTAAAGGAGAATCCCTTTTTAAAGATTGTTGATCCATTTTTAAAGTTTATTCATGACGCTTGCAACCCACTTTTGGGTCGGGACCCACGAGTTGAGAAATGCTGCTTTAAAGGGAAAAATATAAGACATACAGCTGACAGCCAAAGAGAGGGGGAAAAGAAGGGGACAAAGGACCAGGCATGGGTGGATCTAGGATTTTGAAAAGGGGGCATGGAGCGGGGAATGCAGAGGGTGAGGTGCATCATCAGGTCTAAAATAACACACATTTATCTCCAATTTAAAAAGAAACAGAGTTTTTTTATTCATATGTGAGGGGCCTCAGGCTGCTATGATTTAGTCTGAGATTGCAGCAAAAAGAACGAGAGCTTCATTGTTTTTTCCCTCATTCCAGTCTGTCAGGCTGCGAAACAGGCGCAGCCATGGAACAGCAGAACAAAGACTACCTCCGTTGGTGGGACATCAAGACCATGGAGAAGAAGGGAAGGTCCTTAACACCTCTGGAATGGAGAGTTTAGAAGGGAGCAGGTAGATTACAATGAGCCATGATGTCAGGTGACTCCCTCAGCACTGCCCAACTAGAAAAGCTGCTGTCACTGCCAGGCAGTGATTGGTTTGAAACTTTGGGTGGAGCAGGAGTTAAAGGGGGATGCAAGTGTCCAATGTACACCCTCCATCCCCCGGATCTGCCCCTGCCTTTCGCCTCCAGAGCTTGAGACCAGAGGAAGAAGCAGTTTTCTGCCTGCTCCTTCTCAAGTGATTTTGACTTAACTGGCTTGGGTTTTCACTACTTGGTGAATCTCCCCTCTAGGACAGTGCTCGTCAACCAGAGTGTTGTGGTATCGTGGGGTGTGGCAAGATTTTGTTAAGGGTGTCACACAGTATTAGGACAGTTAGGCATGCAAACACTTGCACATGATTCATAAGATAAATGCACCAATTTCAAATAGGAACTCATAATGTCAAAAACACTTTGATCTGGCCTTTGGGTATAATGAGGAGCACCTTGGGTCTGAAAAGGTTGAGAACTGCTGTTCTAAGCAGCTATCATCACTGCAATGTACAAGAATTATCAATAGGCAAAACCAGCATAGGATTTGGATTAAGTTGAGGATTTTGTTGCATGTGAAGATTGGGGTTAAAAATCTAAACCCTCATAGACACTCATAGAATAGCAAACTGACTCAGTTTTTCTCATGTGTTTTTTTCAAACTCAACCTCAAATAGAATTGCTTTTCTGTTATTTAAGCTGTTTGAAGGGACACAGTAAGGACAGAAGGTGTCTGCTTTTACTGGGGGGTAAAAGAAAATAAAGCACCCTACTCCCCCTAAGATCACAGAGTGAACAAACTGCTGGCCTTTGGGCAGGCATCTGCATCTTACACATTTAAAAAATAATATGACTTTTATTTGGAAAAAAAATCTTGTCCATAAAACATTTGTCTCAAATCTTAAGCCAAAGGAATGTCTAGCAAACTTATTCAAGTATTTTGACACATTAAAATATACTTTATCTTTTTTAGTATTTTAAATCTGGCAGCTGCCTTAAAAAAGGCCTCTGTCTGCCTTGTCTGACCAGGTTTTTCTGTGCAGTCATCTGAATTCTGAGTGTGTTTCATTTCTAAGCAGCCATTTATCTCTCTCAATGTGGCATGGTAGAAATTTGGTAATATCTGTTATTGTACCAACTATGTAATTGGGAGAGATGTTAGATAAGCTCTTGGGTACAAAGTACCCTTTCTTGTGTCTGACAACAGGATTTATTTAGCATTTCATTTTGCTCAAAAACATGGCCGAGTGAGTGGAAACACCTGTTATGGCCAACACTGGTAGCAACTTGCATATAAAACTGTGCAGCAAAACAGAAGAGGAGGGTAGCTAAGATGAAACAGTGAGGTCAGATTTGGCTTACAAGAATTCGGAGATGATAAGCAGGAGACAGTTTTACTTTCTGTCATAGATTCACGTAAGTTCTAGCAAAATATTCTTGATCTTAGCTCATAAAAGCACTCAGGCTATTATAGAGGTAAAAGTAGGACAGTTTTAATGGTCTGATTTGCAAATATTTTGATAGGGCCTAGATACATAACATTTTCTCAGCTATTTTTCTTTAAATGTAGGGCTGTGTTTCTTTAAATGTAGGAAGATTACCAGTATTCACTTTTTTCAATCTCTTTTTAAAAAAAAAATATTTCAAGGTCCGGTATGAATTTAAAAAAGATACTAACTCAGACAAATCTGCTCTGCCCTCCTTCAGTATGAATAACTGCCTTTTCCCTGTAGTCCTGATTTAGACTACATGGCTGCCTGGAAGAGGTCCAGTTGCTAATGAGACTTTGCTATTCTAGGGTATTTAACTGAGGGTAGGGAATATCAGGTAGTGGGACACCAAAGTATTCCAAAACTAGAAAGCTGCTGTTTGTAATCGGGGTTGAGTGATGGCGGCCATGTAACCCTCCTGGACTTTTGAAGTTGAAGTCCGGGCTTTAGCTTTGATCAGTTGCCCATTCTGAGGAAGAAAAAACACAAGACAGCTTCAGCTCCAGGAAAGAGGAAAGCTAATGTCAATTTCACGGAACACATACTCAGTGCTGCATATGTGATTGATGGAAAGTTGTTAATTACAGAAAATGTTGTGTCACTGGATTCTCTTTTTTATTGTAGTGATGAAAGCAGGATCCTTCTATGGTTGGTGGTTGCAGCAATAAAAAAACTCCTCCAAAAGCCCAGATCCCTCAGTTATTCTGGAGAGCTATGCCACTTCTGTGCTCCCTACATCCCAAGGCTGTTCAGGGTTAAACATGACATCAGTTGGGGCAGTCTTGGTTCTGGCCCAGAATATGCTTGGCTTTCAGTGGTCAGCAGATTGATATAAAGGAGACTTAGCAGAACAATTAATCACCTGTTCACTGTTTGAATAGCTCATGAGGGTACAGACATTGTTTCCTGCTGTCCCTTGATACACACAGAGCTAATCATACTGCAGCTCCATATTTAGCACTGGCTGACCCAGGGTCCCTTATTCTAGAAGTCATGGCTGCAGCCCCACAACATATTCCACAGATATTCCACAATTAGTAGTAATATTGTCCCCAAAGCTCCTTTTTCCACCATCAGATACAGTGTTTCAAATTATTTTAATTTTTTGTGGGGGGGGAAGAGGGTGCAAAGAAAATACCGCTATTTATATAGCTACATATGACAAAAAACGTGAGGCTGCAGTTTACAACCCCTCAGTGCAGTGGGAGAGGCAAACTCAGATGTCCTCACTTCATCAAGCAAATTTTACCGTCTGGTTCTCTCTCAGCACCTTTCTCTAAAGGATCTATTACTCACTTCTAGCGACTCTCCCTGTGTCTTTCATGTTGTGTCCTATCTCTAGCTCCCTTTTATGCCCTTTCTGTGGCTCTTTCCACCAGCTTGCTGCTCCTCATTTAATTCCCTGCTCAGGGCCAGGTTCCACCCCTTCCTCATAGGGCTTGCTGTTCTTGCTGCCTCTGCATTGGGCAGACTTCTTCTCCCAACCCTCCTGGAATCACGTGGATCTACCATTCCAACCTTTTTTGAGCAATTAACCAAGTTCTCCTCTAAATTCTGCTCATTATCTAAATAGCTCCTGGAGAAAATGAACACCACTCCCTGGACACCCCTGGTACCTACAAGGAAAGTGGCCACCAGTAGCCTACTTGAAATCATCCTGTTGTCTACAGACAAATGATTGGAGGTTGAGGGTTGATATCTGTGAGAAGATGTTGGCTGGGATTTAATTTAGGCTGAGTATTTCTAATTACCTATACAAAGAATGGACACTTTCCCTCTGTTTCTTTCTGTCTTGTCCCTAATCCCTAGTTCACA